AATGCCACAATATTCTCTTTATGCGATTATATTACAAATAAAATTGTGATAAAGAGAAAAGTCAAGAGAATTGTCAATAAGGAAAATTAAATAAAACCACTAGTCGATTAAATAGGAGGATGTATGACAGACGTCGATACTCAGCGTCCCCTTTTAAGTCTCGTCCATCATCTCCATTTCTTTCGCTCGTTTGACGCGAAGAATATTCCGGAACCAGAATAATAACCATTATCGCGAGCAAATGACGCAAATGACGAACGTCTGTACACTGTTTTCAAGTAATGATAATTAGTGGAATGTCAAGCGATCTGATTTGTTGTTAGGCGATATTCATTTCTTGGAGACGACGCGCGCGCGCGCGCGCGCGCGGAACACAATGGCGCACTGTACAATTGTGTCGTTGGCTCGGCGTTGATAATAATTACCGCGATAGCGGACGTTATTGAATGGAAATTTTGCGTAACTCGTGTAATCCGTATCCGTGCAATTAATTATTGTACCGCGATAAGTCGCGAATATTATTCCGTCCGTCCCTTGAGCATACAAGCGCGCGCGGTCGGGGCTGATTGCGCGCTAGCGTCATGTCATATATTATGCACGCATCATCGTGTTGCGTATACGCGCTTTCCAGCTGATTTCGGCATATTTCCTCAATCGCTTAATGCACGTCCCGCGTGCATGATTATCGCCATAACGACAACTCGATGACAATATAATGATGTCGAATCCTCTCTATATCATATCTCAAAATTATCAAGATATTCAAGAGAAAAATCAAGAGATAATCAAGAGAAAAATTGTTTAAAATTAATAGATTGTTGTATTAAATATTAAATGTTCCTTTTATAATCACTGCATTTATTAGAGAATATCAAAATGTCATAAACTAATGTAATTACGATTACAGAGCTAATGCAGAAAATCTGAACGAGCGAAACAATTATAGTTGAATTCTAATAATTCTTATAAAATAATTTATTTATATTTATTTATACATTCCGCCGCGATTCAATATTTTTACTCTTTCAGAAACATCATAATAAAAGGAGATTATAATTTTATTGACACAAATATACGGCCATGTATGTAAGACATCGAGGAAGTCTCGGTGTAAACAAATGTACAAATTAAAATAACAAATCATACACATCATCATCATCATCTGCTTATTATAGCATATAAGATAAAGTTCCATCGCGATCTTTCGCGGAACACTGGCGTTTCGGAAACCTTGACCGAGCGAGAATTTTTGACCGCGGGGATGCAATCGATCATGACTCGCGAATGACAGGTCCGATCGATCGATCGCTCGGTGGCTGGATCTCGGGAACGCGTGGTAAAACGGCTGCGAGCGCGGCTCTTTATCCTTTACTCTCTCGCCTGACAAAAAAGCGAAGCCGAAAAAAGCCAGCTGCCACGAACGCTAATTTCGGCACGCGCGCCGCGAGGCTTTTTAGGCGCCGTGATACAACGGAAAGCGCAATGTGCAATGCCACGCAGCGCAGCGCAACGCCACGCGCGCATATCCGAAAGATAGAGCGCACCTTGCGCCTCGTTAATTACGAGCTGGCAGAGTACATACGCGTTCCCGTGTAATCGCTTTTTACGTGCAACTTTCGACGTGCGAGGCTACAAAGCGCGTACAAGTTTTCCGCAATACATATGTAATATGAGTATTTTGTTGAACATTATATCCAGAATTTTTGGAAGAAAAAAATATCATTTGTACGAAAAGGGTTGAAACAGTAATTTTTTTTCATTACATTACAGAAAATTTTTGCTGAATGTAATGTTACAATATATTATTATGATATATCTTCTTTATTTCCTTTTTAATCTTATATTTATTATTTCGATATATTTTTTAAATAATTCTAAATCTAGTAGTGCGTATTTTTAATCTCATTTTCTAAAACACTATGTCAAGAGTGTCGACAAAGCGACGTGTTATGTCGGCTTATGAATCCAGAACACACCGATAAAAATTGTAACAACAAACGCTAACGACGGGAAAAAATCGTTAGGGAGGGTCGCTTCCGCGGATATTAATCATGTCGAGAAGTGAAAGGCGTCTCTCTTTAAGAAGACATTACCGGAGCTGTTATCACTCTAATCAAGGAATGTACAAACCGCGAAGAAATGTATATACGATACATATATGCTTGCGCGCGCGGAATGCACACTCGTGCATTCTTAAGCAGCGAGTATCGAGGAAGAAACGAGATGATAAAAGCCTGTAGCGGCCTATAGGTGGCAATAAATGTTTCGAGGCTCGTAAAAACGTTATTGCCTTCTGCGCGGCGCGATACCAGAAGACAGTTCGCGAAAGCAAAAGGGGGAGATAGAGACACTTTGGCTAGAACCTGACGAATCCGACATATTTTTATACTCTTCACATCAGCAGATCTACGTTATTATATCAGCTGTGCAATAATGACGTAATAAGTTATGAGCAGAACTGATCTGAAAAAATTGTAATATTAATTATAATTTTCTATTAATTACAGAGCTGCAGAATTCATACAAAATTCTTTAGTATAAGATATAATTTTATATTTCGTTTTATTAATATTAAGTGACTTCCTTTTTAATTCTGGTGTCATTTTTAAACGAACGGTGCAAATTTATGGGTCCGTGATCTGTCGGAATTGTGTATATTCGAATACATGAAGAGATAAGCAACATACGTTACTCCTTCAACTTTGCGCCAGTTTATGCACGCTGAAGAAAAAAACACCTGAAGTTATAGTTACATATGCACGACTTGGACTGTGAATAATTTAAAAATGGAGCTTGTATGTAAATGGACTTATTCTCTGACTAGGAATCGCTAGTTTTCCGGTTATACGGCTTATTACTTCGTACTCGGTATGCATGTAATGCGGCACATTGATCGGACATGACGATATGTGAGGTAGACTTTGATACAAACGTGTGTGTAAGAGAAGTCGACTTGAAATATCGTGAAAAAAGCTAGAAAGCTAACGAAGCAACGAACAAACGACACACCTTTCTTGCGTGTAACTCGAGAAATGGCATTCGTCATCGCGAGATCGGTCTATTATCGCGCTCGCAAGATAAATAGAATGACAATGTCAGACGGAAGTGAAAGATCCAGGAAGGGTCACGCGTATCATAATATCGATAATGTAACATATCGATAATGTAACATAAATCATGATAATTTTGCTCAAAATTGTATTTTTATTTCTGAATATATTAACAATAAATTATTTTATATCAAATTAATATTTATAAAAACTTTAGCCGCACACTTTTCTGGAATTACTTGCAAAAAGTTACTAAAAAATGAATCTAAAAAACACACGAATAAAATAAATAATAAAAGATATAATTTATTTGATTATTGTTTTAAGCATAAAAAAATGAGATTAGAAAAATGTGCTGATAAATTGGAGAGAAATATTACAAAGCAGTGAACGTTGATGAAATCTATATTGAAACAATTGGGAAGTCTGCGCTTTTTTTTATTCCAGCATAATGTTCCCTCTTACGCAGAGCTGTTCCGCTAATATCGCCGTATAATCTGTCGCCATTTCGAATAAATAACCTACGGCGTGGCTAATAAAATTTCGCCGCCTGCGAAATTTTGTCAGCCACCTTTCCTTCGCGCGTCGCTCCTTCGCGCGACAGAAGATTCCCGGCGGATGCGTTTTTCACGGTGGCACAGGATACTGTCTATATAAAGACACATAGCCGAGCAGGGCAGGAGGCGGCACAGCGTGTACCGTGGCGTCGCTTCATTTGTCTTTATATTAACGCCGCTGCGTAACGCCGTAACGGCGTTATGACGACAACACAACGGCGGGTAGCGTCGGCGTCTACATTGCCGTGAAACAACTTTTCACCCCTCCCAATCTTCTTTCGCGGCCCTTTTTTTCGCCTCTTTATATAAACGCGTTGCCGTTTTACGAGGGAGGAAGGCAGCGAGAACTGCCCTTGATTCCAAATTATTACTCGTGCGAACGTCGTCGGGGGTTACGTCTCTCGGCAAATTGCATTTTCGCCGAATTTACGAAAGATGTGCGACGATCAAGGATAAAATTAAGAAAATCTATATTTATTTATTTATTAAAAAGAGAAATTCAACTCTCTTTCAAATCAAATCGATCTTTTTATCAAAAAAAGACTAACTAAAGAAAAACAAAAAATCAATTGTCTTCTTTAATTTGTTCTTTTAAATTGAATAAAGTGATAAAACGATAAAAAATTCAGGAGAGTTCGAGAAATAAAATTAAATTTTTTGTTAAGATGAGGAAATAAATGAGAAATGAAATTAACTCGCAATATCTAAGAGTGCTACGAGAAGCGTTGTTACATAAAATCTCGGACAGTCCCCCGAGCGCATTAGCACGATAATTGCAAGTCAAAGTTTCCTAGTGCATATTCGTGTTGCTCACAGGCGAACTTTCAGATCTATAATAGACACGGGGATAAGGGAGAGGGATGCTGCCTTCTCGTCTCGACAAGATATGTCGATATCTCGATGTAGGTATATATCGACCTGTAGGTAACTTGCAGCAGCGCGCAGAATAAAGTTTTCTGCCGCGCGTATATATAAAGTAATACCGATACGCGAGGTCGACTCCTTTCCTCCCCCTCGGGCGGGGGAGGGGGGTCAGTATTGGATGGCGGTTCCCAAGGGGTTAATTCCGACCGAAAGGGCGGAAAATATTCACGGTTCCTTAAAATCCGACGAGCCTGTCTCTTACGAGCTTCCTCTGGGGTGGCGTTACGCCAAACGGTCAGTCAAAATATCAGGAACCCTTGCCATCTACTTTTCGCTTGCCCGCAGCAATCATCCCTTAATCCACACCAAACTGTAGGGTATTAGAAATGGACAAAGCTGCAGACACACAAAACCTTTCTGCTAAACGGAAAACTCCATTCACTTCTCGTTCTAAACGTTACACGATATCCTTCTCCTTCCCGATAATTTAATAATCTCTCTACAGTAATATATTTGTTTTTGATTGCAGTCCATCCGATGTACCGTGAACAACTGTTCCTGCGAATCCTTCACACCCGGGAAACGTCATCTGCGCTACTGCGAGAACTGCCATCACGGATGGGTGCCTCACGGTAAGTTCGAACACATCGCGAGATGAAGCATTTCGTAATATCGAAACTCGCGCGTTTCTACCGGGCGTGTCTCTGAAAAAAAAAAAATGAGAGAGAAACAAAAAAAATGAGAGAACGATCGCGGGAAGATTTTCCCGGGGATATTCCGGCGCCTGGTGTCGCGCGGTTAAACGCAAATTTTCCAACTGTCAGCATACTTCATCCGACGGGCCCTCAGGGACGAAATTCAATTTTCCAACGATGACCACCGCCCAACCCTCGTTGGGCACCGCGGCCGCGCGCCACCCCTTTGCACAATAGAAAGGAGCGCGTTCGCGCGCGCGCGCGCGCGCGCGCGTACACGTATCGCATACGCGCGTATTCGACGATATAAGATGGTCGGGATTACTTTATCGCCCTTACGTTAAGTTCTACGAATG